TTCCTTTAGAGTTCAAATACTCACAAATAATCATAATGTCTTATATTTATAAATCAATTTATGATTATTGCTTTTATTATTTTGTATATGACAAACATTACAGAAATCTCGTAAAGTATGGACATGATTTTTTAATTTATAGAGCTCTAAAAGTAGTCTAGCCTTGAGTTCAAAGAGTTCAAATGGAATTTTTTTACGCTGTATATTTTCTATATTTGAGATTGACCCTGATTCGCGTGCTGAGTGATACAAAAACATGTAACACATATTTATTGTAACATCGTCTGGATACAAATCATTCACAAAATAAAATTTTCCAATTATATATATTAATTAAGAATTATAATAATGATAACAAATTTAGAAATTAGTTCATTAATAATGAAGAAAAAATAATAATATATAAATAAAAATTCAAATAATTTTTTAAATTAATTTTTTAAATTAAGCGCGTGCTTGCTATATAAATAAAATATGTCATTAAATCGTGAAAATAAACATTATGATTATTTAGTAATTGGTGGTGGTAGTGGTGGATTAGCTTCAGCAAAACGTGTTGGTTTGTATGGTGCTAAAGTTGGATTGATCGAATCAAGTGGTCGACTTGGTGGTACTTGTGTTAATGTAGGATGTGTACCAAAGAAAGTTATGTTTAACACAGGTAGAAAAAACTTTTTGTTTTCATATTATATAGTTCTCAAAGTTTTTAATTTTATATATATCATATATTCCTAAAAAAAGCGAGTGTCTCGGAAACGCTTGAAGATGCGTCTCATTACGGATTTAATATAAAAGAAATTTCAAAGTTTGATTGGCCATCCATAAAACATAAACGTGACGAGTACATAAAACGACTTAACAAAATTTACGAAAATAATATGAAAAAGGCAAATGTTGAATTGATCGAGGGTCACGCAAGTTTTGTTAGTAAAAATGTCGTAAAAGTTAAGCAAGAAAACGGCGAATGCGAAACTATTCATGCTGATCACATTTTAATTGCTACAGGTAAATAAATACTTGATATTTTTTTTTTTTTTTAAAAAAATTAATAATATTTTTTGCTCGCATTCAAAACACATCCACGTCCATAGGTGGTCGTCCAATCATTCCAAATATTCCTGGCAATGAACTCGCAATTGACAGTGATGGTTTTTTTGCTCTCAAAGAACAACCAAAATCCGTAGCTGTTATTGGTACTGGGTAAATATTAATCAACGATAATTGATAATAAATTATTATGACTGGTAACTATTTTTTTTTTCTTTATCGTCGAAAAATAATAATAGGTATATTGGTGTCGAATTGGCAGGAATTTTTAATACCTTGGGGACAAAAACAACTCTTTTCAGCCGTTCAGGCGAAATTCTTCGTAGTTTCGATCCAATTATCAAAAAAGTTTTATATAACGATCTTCAAAAAGAAGGAATAAGAATCTTAACAAATGCCAAAGGTAAATAAAAAATATTACAAATTTTAATTAGTTAATCTAATATTTCCTCTTCTATTTCATTTCGTTGCAAAAAAGTTTGTAGCCTTTCACGTCACTGTGAATCTGATCCAATAACAGTAGAGTTTAGCTCGAATGAAACTCAAGATAAAAAAGAACAATTTGACGTGGTTTTATACGCAGTTGGTAGAAGACCAAACAGTGACGGTTTGAATTTGGAAGAAATTGGTGTGAAATTGAATAGTCATGGATATATTATGGTCGATGAATTTCAAAATACTGATGCTGAAAATGTTTATGCACTTGGAGATGTTTGTGGTGTTGCTCAATTAACTCCTGGTAAAATTGAAAATAAATTATAAATAGATATATTACTTAATTAATGATAGTAGTAATGGTAATAATGATAACAATGATGATTTTGTTTAATTGATTAGTTGCAATTGCAGCTGGACGTCGTTTGGCAGATCGTTTATTTGGTCCTTCACAATTCAAAAATTCAAAACTTGATTATGAAAATATTCCAACAATTGTATTTCATGGTACTTGTGGAACTGTCGGATTGACTGAACCACAAGCAAAACAGAAATATGGCGAAGAAAATATTAAAGTTTATACTTCGGAATTTACAAATTTATATTATGCAATGACTGAAAAAAGCACGTGAAAATTATTATTACTTTTTTTTTCGTATTAAATGTATAAATACAGTATATATATCTAATGTATACAAAAAAAAAATAATAGAACTAAAAACAGCGTATAAACTGGTAACAGTCGGCGAAGAACAAAAGGTTGTAGGGCTTCATTTAATAGGAAGAGATTCTGCTGAAATAGTAAGCCAATAATTATTATAAATTTCATTAAATTAAATTATTTGCATTAAGTTAAATAATTATAATTTTTTTTGAAATAGTTACAAGGATTTGCTGTAGCAGTTAAAATGGGTGCAACAAAAGCAGATTTTGATAATACAGTTGCATTGCATCCTACAGCAGCCGAAGAATTGGTATGTAAAAAAAAAATCAACTTTAATTAAATTGGTGCAATTAAATTAATTAGATTTTTTCCTCGAAAATAATAGGTAACGATGACATAAAACTTAATTTTAACTATCAAGTATATACATACATACATATATATATATTAAATAAATCTTTATCCATATCGCAACGCAGTGCTCAAGTGAAGAAATTGCTTCAAAAGTGTTTCGTCTAATGCAATCCTTGCTAAAATCTTTTTTTTTTAATCGTCAAGTGTCAATGCATATTTTAATAAGCTTATTAGTAATTTTGATTATTGATGACTTTTCACCATTATTAAATCAGTATTTAAGAAATAGATGAATTGTTGCAACTAGCTCTTGATAATAGTAATATTGAAAAATGGTAGTGATGAGGTAAATTAAATAACATTTGAAACGTAATCATGGAAAACATTACCATACCTCAATATCACATACCAGATCCCAGATATTAGTATTAGAGACCCATTCAATTTATCCTATTATTGGGAATATATTTCTGTTATTTATTAAAACTGATATTTATTTATTCTCATTAGTCCTTGAACGTTCTGAACATCAAGGTGTATTGTTACATCTGACGTTTTTGCGGTGAAATGACGTTCACAACTTCCGAGACGAGCGTTTCTCGTAATTAACAGTTAATGGAACAGGCGATTTCAACGCATGGCAACTTGTGAAATCTACAAATAACTAGATTCATCTTTTTTACTTATACTACAAAGGTTTCTGGAACTTGCTATTGTAGTCAATTTTCAAATTACTGTATTATTTGATATGAAGATTGATCTTTACTTAATAAGGTAATTTGATTGGGACAATAAAATTTTTGTTGTCACTTTATTCAATTATTTTTGATGATGTATGTCCCTATACTTTTGTCCAGGAGGGACTTTACCACTGTTGCAAATTCGTCACGAATTGAAACGGATTATATTTTTTTATAGCAATAAAGTGATTAATATTCCCAATCACCTGACTTTAAAACGTTTTCTGGTTATCAAAAAGCTTATTTCTGGCTTTATAAAATAAGAAGCTTCAAGTCCTGTTTTATTTATTACTAAAGTAATACAAAGTAATTCGGAAGTGACAAAATTTATATGTATAGGTTGAGGAAAAATGAATTCTGATCAGGATTTATGGTATGTTAACAAGGCCGCGAAAAGTTTTTAGATTAGATGGTAATGTTTTATTTATTATAATGTAAGTTTATTAATGCACCTTTATTATCAATTAAAATCTAACTTCTAAAATAATTACAGCCAATTTTGAATTGCACGAGAAATATTCGACTCCTCAAGTGTTTTGCTTGATATTTTGCTCTTGCCTGGAGTATCACTTTCATTCAAGATATAGTCCATATTGGATTTGAATGGGTGAAGTGTTCAATTTCAATGTTGGGCATGATGCGATATTAAATCCTATTACTATGATAACAACGCTATTATTTCTCTACTTCTAACCCAACTAACTTTCCTCCAAAATCTTTTTCCTTGTATATATTTTAATTTCCTATTAATGCAGGCGGCACACCCTTTTGTAGATTTAGAACGCGTTGCCATGTTACGTTATCAAAAACATTTTGCCATGCAATACAATGTTAATTATGTAATAAAAAATAAATGTATAAATACAAATTATTAAATAATTAATAAAGATAAGAAAGTTCTGTTCTAGATCCCGTGACCACAATATATTCAATTATTGTCAAAGCATTGAACTAAATTTCATGATATTTTGACATACCAAATCCAAATGCGACGGCAGTTTTAAATTGATTAAAAAATTATATAGAAAGACAACAATTGGTCGTGGATCACGTTGTAGATGTTGTAAAAAGAAAATATACGCCTTAAGATAATATATGGCATTCAAAACCTTCAAAATTCTGAAACTGTAAAATCTCATTAGGTTAGAAATGGTTACTTTAAACGTTTGTAACGATATTCCTCCATTTCTAAAAGATGTATTCAAAAAGACATTACCAAGCATAGGAAAATCGACCAGTTGTGGCGTTGAGCAATTTTCAACACTTTGTACCACCAAATTACTGTGGCGTTATGCTGGTTTTGTCGCAGCATGCCCATATTAATATTAATATTATTAATATTGCTCATTCATTGTACTTGATTAATAATAAATAATGACTTTATATTGGTTGATACTTGCTGATAATAAAGGCCGTTGAAGAAAATTTCAATAAAAAAATTACAAAATAGTTTTCAAGCCACTCACTATTTTCATATGATTCAAAAAAAATTTTTTTTTTTTACAATACGATCAAATTTTTTTTTGTGTAGTGTAAATAAAAAATGACTGAAGATTCTAAAATTAATTTTGAAACTGTTGTTGACGGTAGTGGTATCAATACTGAAAATAATGACGGTGGTAGCAGTAACAACAACAACAACAATAATAATAATGTAGAAGAGGCTCTTAATATTAATAACAGTGATGGTGGTAAAGCAAAGAAAAGTCGTTCTGTAAGTGATGCAGAGAGAAGACGTCGCCGTCAACAAAGGATTTTAGGAGAGGCAGGAAATAGATTATCAAAAATTAATTATACACATACCTCACTAGGCGGAGAGGCTGCTGGTAGTGGTGGTGGTCATTCAACGCGAACTACACCTCGGACCAGTAGAAGATCTTCTCCTCTACCTAGTGGAAGATCCTCACCAACCAAAGAAGATGTATTTGATAGTCCTTTTTCACGTTCTAGAAGAAATACTGGTAATTTTGAAGGGGGCGGTGTTAGTGATAGTAATAATTATTTTAACACTTTACAATCAACACTATCATCATCACCAGATAATATTAATTTATCATCATTTTCTACAGACAATAATAATTCATCACCAGCACCACATATAAGAGTTAGTGAGGATAATACAGAATCAGAGTTTTCCGCAATTTCAAAACGATTAAATTCCGTTTTAGAAAGTGAAGAACAATTAGCGTATGATAATCAGGAAAATAATGAATTTTATAAAAGCATGATAGGAAATAGTATATATCAAGGAAAAAATAGTAGTACTGCATCATTAGAATCATCATTTGGTGGTGGCGGTAGTGAATATCAATATTCGCCACAGCATCAACAATTTCCAGAACAATTGGAACAAATGCCATTACCTTTTCCACCATTTCTTAATCCTGATATGAAAATTTTTCCTTTTGTTGGTGGTGGTAGTGATATAAATACTGGTGGTAGTAGTAGCGGTGGTGGTAATAATAGCAGTAGTATTCAATCATTGATAAGATCAAGAATATGGCAATTAATTCATTTTATGTCGATGATTTTCCTGGGAATTTATTTCATATCTAGTGAATTAACAAGATCACAAGGTGGTTGGACTAGATTTTATTATTTAAATTATGAAAAACCTGGCGAAATATTAGACATACATCAAATTCCAAGTATGCCATTATTTTGGTATTTTATAACAGCTGAATTAATATTGCAATCCACAAGATTATTATTACAAAGGGTAAAAAAATTACTATCTATTAATATATGAAATATTTTTATTACTGCTGCTACACCATTAGTAATTCACATTGATTATTTCTCTTCATTTATTATGTTTAGGATCAACCATTACAAGGTTCGACATTAGGAAATTTAGCAGCCAATTTACCTGAACCATTTCCAGACATAATTAAAATCCTATTAAAGCATAGATTAATATGGAATAGTTTATGGGAAGATATTTGTGTATTAATATTTATTGTAGGACTTGTAATAGCTATTTCTCCTATATTGTCATATTTTGATTAATAACCTTTCCTTTTTTTTAATTATTTAATTATTTAAATATTTTATTATATTTGCTTTATTTAATTAATTCTAAATAAATAAAATTAAGAAAAAAAGGAAAAAAGAAAAAATTATTGCTGATAGTTTATGTAACCACCCAATTCGTTTTCCAATTGCTCATCTACTTCCATATTTTCTGGTTTTATAATTCCGTGTTGACTAGCAGCATATGAATCATAATTGTTTTGCTGCTGCTGTTGCTGCCGTTGACGTGGTTGCATTATTGAATCACGTTCATGGGCTGATAGACTATCACAATAAAAAAGAAAGTGACGAAGAAAGGTTGGAGTATTTGCGTATGTAAGAGTAAAGAAAATTTATAAAGCGCAAGTATTGGTGTGTGAAGTGAACAAAAATTTATAAATTCACAGGTAACAAAATGCAAATATGAAAAATAAATATTCACCTTGGTTTTCGGCCTAATTGCGCACCATTAACAGTTAATACTGCTTGTTTAGATTTTTTAAAAGACACCACCTCTTGAACAATCATTCCTAAATTATTTATAATATGTGTTAATATACATTAACAATTTCACATGATTATTTTAATGATCACTTACCCCTCATTTCTTCTAATGAATTAACAGTTTCAAAAGAAAAATCAAATAATTTTTCATGTGATGGCTATTAAACAAAATAAAATATAAAATTATACTTGTATTATCATTTTTATTATTATTAAAAAGGTGAATATTTTCGTTTTAAAATTAACCTCATCTTCTTCATCGTGATAAGCAGCCAAATATGGATGCGCAAGGGCTTGTTCGACTGTGATTCTTATTGAAGGATCAAACTTTAAAAGTTTTTCTAGCAGATCAAGTGCTTTTGACGAAATAATGATATCGTATTTATTAATTACTAATTAATTATCATGATGGATGAATCGATATTTTTACCTAAAGGATTTGCTCTTGCGTAAAGTTGTGAAAAAGGAATTTTTGGCGTTCTTTGAAGACTACGAATGTATATTTGAGCCTTTAATTCAAAAAAAAAAATTTTTGTGATGATAAGTAACGATTTTTGGAAAAAAAAAAAGTTAAATAATCAGCGACCGACATCAACCAACAACTAACCCTGTCACTTCCAACTCTTCTTAAAGTTTCTTCATCAGGTGTACCCAAAATACTTAGAATTTGATTAAGTTGATCAACATAATCACGTCCTTTAAATAAAGGTTTTCCTCCAAGCATTTCTGCAAAAATGCATCCTACTGACCACATATCAACTAACAACAATATCAATTATCAATAGCATATTTATTATTATCTTTCTCTGATTGCAATAGATATAAATAAAAAAGATTATATGAAACTTACTGGCTTTAGTATAATTTTGAAAACTTAACATGATTTCAGGAGCTCTATACCAACGTGTTGCAACATATTCAGTCATAAACCCTGCATCATGATCTGGTGAATCTGAAAATCCACGAGCAAGACCAAAGTCACAAATCTTTTGTATATATGTGTATGTCAGCACTAATCTTTTATGTTTTAATAATTTTATAGATTTAATTATCTTACCTTGAGTTCACAATCAGCATTTACTAGTAAATTACCTTTTAAAATTAAAAAGAAAATTAATTTTTTTTAAAAAGTTGAGAATGCGTGAATGTATTTGTTTCACTACTACTATCAGTATATTATATAAACCAACCAGGTTTTAAATCTCTGTGTAGCACATTTGCAGAATGAATATATTTTAATCCTCTGCAGATTTGATATACAAAATATTGAAAATGTGCATCAGTGAGCGGTTGTTCTGAACGAATGATTTGATGAAGATCGGCTTCCATAAGCTCTTGAAACAAATAACTATAATAATTAATGAATTGATAAATGAATGATGAAACAGGCGGATATATATTTAAAATATATATTTGTAACATAAACGATTTGGTCAGATGCTGTACTTTACATTTCATTGAAATCATTGAAATCTGTTATATCCATATCTAAGATTGATGTAATCTAATAAATATTATTACATTTATGTTTCACCATTAATAAAAAATAATTTATTATATAGCAATACCATTTTTTTTTTTTTTTAGTTTAAAAAAATTTAATAATACCAACATTTTCATGTCCATTGAAATGTTTTAATAACTTTACTTCTCGTAAAGCACGTTTAGCTAAAATATTTTTATCAAAAACTTTTGTTACTTTCTTGATGGCAACACTTTCTTTTGTTTCAGTATTTTTAGCTGCACTATTAATTATTTAAATATGAAGGAGTATTACATTAAAAAGGAATAATAATAATAATAATAATAATAATAATAATAATAGCAATAAAAGGTTACCATACAACACCATAGGCACCTTGGCCCAACTCTCGAATAAACTCATATTTCTTGTCTACGAGAAAATTATGATTAAGTACAGGAAATGCATGGTATGGCATTTTTTAAAAAATTTGACTTTTTTTTATCTCCTATTTATTTGATTCATTTTTAACAGTATATCTTTTGTTATTTATATTACGTTTCGTGTCACATCAAGTCGAAATCGAAATTTCTTTTTTTTTGAAACACACACACTAATTAATAATATCTAACATCTAATATTAATATACAGAATGGAAGTTCTCAAACACGTGACACAAAGTGCCATCTATAATATGGTATAAACCATCTGCTTGATCTCGAAGATAAAGAGAAAGAGATTATAACTCGTTCAAATTTTTTCTTTTATTGAAACTTTGGTTGATCGCGAAAATTTCACTAATACAAATTTGATAATTATCTGCAGGATTTTTATGTGTGACGTAACACCTGTAGTTTTATTGAAGCTGTAGCACAGTTATGCAATTGTGGTTAAGGTAGAGGTAGTCATGTGATTTATTTAATGCCAAGAACACTGGATCAAGGTTTTATTGATTTATATTTATTCGCATTGAGCTCACAAGATAAATGGTATCAAGCCCTTTGCAACAGCAATCCCAAATATATGCATCATTAAAGCATTTCAATAAGACTTGCTGGTTCGTGATAATTCTAATTTAGAAATATTGAATGAACATGCTAATCTAACAACTACTGGATTTTCATACAGTAACTATTATCAGTCATATACAATTGAAGGGTGTATAGTAGACATCAATAACCAAACTTACGTTCCTGGATATTCTATCATTACTTTAATTTAAAGGCCATATTTTCGTTTTATCATAAATAAAATTTATCTTGGTACAATTATGGCGAGGATAATGCTTTAACAAAAGTAGAATATTTATATTCAGGAACTGGTTTTTTTAATACTTTCAATGATTGCATTCGATCAAAAAGAAAGGGGAGAATTTCAACTCATGGTAGTCTTGGTTTTAATGTAAAAGAGAATAAGGATACCGGCTGCAACTTTTGATGATGGTTTCTACCACCTTTGCGTCATATAAAAATGATTGCAACCGCCTTTACGACCATTTTGTTTCCTTTTTTGGATTGCGACATGGAACACTAAAAGAGAACATCTTTGTGATAGGTACATCACCGACTTTTAAAATCAGGAACATTAGTTAATACATTGGAAAAAATCTAGAAATACAAACAGAAATACAAGATAATGAATTTGACAAAAAATCCAATTTATATAAAAGGAGGAATAATTGTTAGGAATGAGGGTATTAACATCACTCCAATAGAAACACAGGTGCTCTTGTCAAATACAAAGAAACATGTTGTTTACTTATCCAGGAAATAAAAAACTATAGGCGCGCTAGAGAGCAAGCATGAGTGAGAAGAGTAAATATGATAATAATAATGAACAACAAATAAAAATTAAAGAATTAGCTACTCAGGTAATGAATACAATTAGGTTCTACAATAACGGTTGGTACTCACAGTTATGTTAGTGCACTACTATCATAGCCATGTTTTAATTGTAGTGATACTTCAATTGAAAATAAAAAATGTGTTATCAACGATGATGTTGATTTTTCAATGAGCATCATCATACAATGTGAAAGCTGTGATAATTTTCAAGTGATACACCTAAGGCAAGTATATCCGTTCTAGTAGCTGGTGAAAGTCTATTATCAGGAATAAATAGGCAACAATGTGAGACTCTTTTGGTACAACATCTCATTAAACCATAAAATTATCTGCATCATATTGAAAACTAAGCACCATTATTTTCGCCGGGACTGTATTACATGAAAGTAATATTTGTTATTACTATTTTTGTAGAGATGTTTCTTACATGCTGTTCTGGTGCAAATAATTCGATCTTCTATATTCAGCTACGACATTCTTATCTACTGCTATCTTCAAGTGATTGAAAAGAGGTCCAGCAAATCCCAAGAAGGAGCCCTGCTCATTATTTCCTAAATGTCTTGAAGTTTATTTTGGCATATTTATCATCGTCTATTCTCCTGTAAGTAATGCCTGTATAGACTTCTCTCCGCTTACACTCTTGATAAATACAATTGAGGATTAATATATGGTATTTTTGTAAAAAAATCAAGGGATTTTTGTTTAAGAAAGAAAATGAATGGATCATTCAAACAAAAATCATCCAAAACTTAATTTTTTCTGCCATCAGTACAAAATAAACAAAGCCACTCATATTTATAACAAAATGAGTTACAGGTTAAGCATAAAATAAAATAATAAATAATAATAAATTGTAATAATGATAAACAGGTTATATATCACCTTTACTCTCTCGCTTGTTCTCCCTCTAATTAACAAAAAAATCAGCAAATCAAAAGTAAATATGATTTCATTTAACTGAAAAAATTTTAAATGAATAATCTTTTTGTGATCTTGATTCTTTGCAAGTATTGAATCGTGAAATTTTCAATTATTATGGTCCGTTGTAAATTCCTTTTATGCAAATCTATAAAGCTCATTAGCAGTTGGTCATTTTAATCTGCACAAAAATTAATATAAGCCAAAATGTGAAAGGTTGAGAAGATAATTTTCGTGATCAATGCAATAGACGGAGTCCAGGGTTGGCAAATGTGCGGTCTATTAGTGGTCCATCGGGCCATTAGTGTATCACTTTAACCATATTTAGTATTTTATTAATGGCAATGGACCAGTCAATTTGCCAACCCTGGACAGAATACATTCACGTTATCACAATAATTTATCACATGATTTAACTTATATGTGGGTTCGATTGGCTAATTTGGTGCTCTAAACAAAATAAGTAATTGAGTCATGTGATTTTACAATGTTTACCACGAAAAAAATATTTTGATTCAGAGGACTTTTTTTGATCAAAACGATATTAATGATATAATAAACAGTAGCAATCAATAGTAATAGTAATGGGCTATTTATTACGATAACCGAAGATATTTTTTCTGCATTAATTTAATGCTTTATTTATTTACTCTATTATGGTTATGTCTTCTTGGTTTATATAGGAAGTAGATAAGTAGGTTCAAAAAACAAACCAAAATAAAGAAGACGTATATTAAAATTACTTGAAATTCCTTAAGCACAAAGGTTGATTTGGAAGCTGGCTCATTTAATATGATGATGCAATCAAATTTCAGGAGAGCTCTGATTTTTGTGAAATATTCTTATTGAAATGTTTCTATTGAATTTGCATTATTGGAATAGAGACTATTAAAGTCTCTTTTGTCTGAAGACCTACTGGTACATACAGATCTCATAACTATGGAGTTTTCTTCAGAGGTGGGGGTAAAGACTTGTGTGTGCCAATAGAAGGAAAATTTTATTAAATCTGACACCTATGATCAATATCAGATTTATTATATCAGAAATAATTTTTAAGGAAATCTATAACAATTGGGAAGCGTGCCACACACACGCACACAAAAAAAAAATGGGAACCAAGTAGAGAGACTCAACTACTCACGCCATCTTGAAGAATAAAGAATAGAAGATTACCGTCAATGTGTTGAAAATATTCACGAGAGATTGCTGAACAAAATGAAAAGCTAAATGGTTAATTCCGACTTCAACAGTTAAAATTCAACAAAATATCAATGGGTTTACTCTTCAACTCTTCCGAATTTTCTCTTGTCAATATATTATGTGTCCTTTTCCTTAAAAATTTATTTCTGCATGGTTTTAGTATTATCATTACTTGGGCGATGCAATTATTTGTTATAGCAGTATCATCAAATGCATTGTATAATCGTCATAAATATTGTAATAAGCATGTTACAATTGTGGGGGCAAGGATTAAATAACAACTAAAAAGATAAGTTATATTTTATTTATTTTGATTCAATTAAGCGAAAAATACATAATGATTTAGTTTATATTAAATATTACTATCATTACTATTGTTAATATTAGTATCTTCTTCATCTTCTATATCATCCCCTTATTCATTTTTCTCTATTGATTTTCTATTGTTTTCTGATAGAAGTGAGACAACAAATTATGTGGTGGAGAAGGAAAGGAAGTTGCAGTTTTCAATTTCAACTCGGACAATTGTTCAAATTCCTCCCACAATTTTTAAGTTTCCCTTGGGTATTTTCGATCACCACTTGGTTTACACGGTTTATATTTCAATCAACAGTTCACAAAAATTCACTTATAAAGTTAAGTATTTAATTTTGTTTTATAATATTGATTTTGATTTTGGATTCGTTTTTACAATTGTAGAATAGTAAATAAGAAATATGGCTACGATTTTTTATTATTTGAATTTTGAATATTTATGTAAAATTTTCTTTTTTATACATAAATGAATAGAAATGCTTTACGATCACCTTCAATTTCTCATGAAATTTTAACATTGGTAGTCTTATTGAGAGCTGTTTATCAAATTGTTCATGCATAATAAAAGTTCTCTATCACATTTGTCACAATTTAACGATCTTGAAGTTATGCTACGACAAAAAATCTATTTACATAATAATATTAAAATATAGTTTTACTTTTGCCATTCAGCAGCAGTCACCAATGCCCATAAACTTTTACTAGAAGCGAGACAATTTAAATGGTAATTTTCATTCCATCAAAAAAAGATTTTTTTTCTATTAAAGTTATTAAAATTATCAAGTAAACTTTATTTTTAGGTGTAAAATCAGGTTAAATTATTGTTTAAACTTTTGACATTCAGAAGTTGTCAATACCTGTAAAGTTTTATTAGGAACAAAGTCTTTAATGTAGCAACTTCTTACTAATGAAGAGACCAATTTTTTTTAATATTATAACTTTATAAGGTAAGTGTGGAGCACGCTTATTTCTATTGTTAAAAAATTAATTTGAATACTCATGAGGTTTATTAGGGGCAAAGGCTTCTATATTATATTACAATTTTAAGAAAGGCTTTACATGTAGATGTAAAATATGACATTTTTATCAATTGGAAGATTGGAGTCTCATTTATTTTAATAATCATCCAACAATACACATTTAATAGATAATTCGAATACAATGTTTTAATTATTCACATAATATATATATATATATAGAGGATATACATACATCTTTCACTTTCAGTAAAAAATGAACTTTTAGGATACCCTTTGATTTGAGGAAAAGAACATAAATCTCAGAGTCTTCAATTTACGAGAAGTTGAAAAATATAAAGCAAATTCTGATTGTCACAAAATATATTGAAAGATAGGTGTCCATGATTATGCTTCGCATAATTGGATATTTTATCATTGTCATTTCCTATATTCCATCAAATAGAACATTTAACATAAATTCGTCAAATAGAAGTGGCATATCAAAGCAAAGACAGTAGCAGTAGAAGTAGAAATAGTATGAGAATGTGAATGAGAATGAAACAGTAATGATAATGTTTGCTGATAACACTCATATTTTTGTGCTAAATCAAATTTGGTTGAGTTTCAATAAACACAATTCGTGTTTTAGCTCTGCACTAATATATATAAGCGCTTTTATAAGAGGAAAAGGATGGTTGTTAGGATATTTTTATAGAGAGATTATTAATTGTGTAGAATTAATTAAATTGGTGTAGAATTAAAAGAAGCGTGATGACAAAATAAAAATTGGGAAATTTTATGTAAAATTAAAATTTTTACAGATGTGCAACGAACACAAAAGCATTTTATATAATCAATTGCAATTGAGGAGGATGATGTTAATAATATAAGTGGTTCAACTATACCTAATGTTTTAATAAATGAAGATATAAAAGCTTTTGAAACTGCATTTAATTTCCTTGAACAAAATAATTTACGAGTAAATCAAAAAGTAACAGCTTATATCGGCCATTCATTCTCTTGTTTCAACGAATTTAGATGATTGGTCCATAAATTCGTTTGACTGTTTATAATAAAACTTCTTTATGAGAATATTAAGCCTATAGAAAAATGCCACCATCTAAGAACAACAACTCTAAGATCATTTTTGAACTATTTTTTTTTTTTGCTACAAAAAAATGAGACATACATTTATAGTCAAGACACTGGCTACAACTTTTAACCTAATCGCAGCCAGCTTTTTTATTGTGACAGGTATTCTTAATCATAATAAAAAAATTTATAAAGCGTAACATATTCGTTGTACGGAAATGTGCTCTCACCATTACTATTATTATTATATATTACGAGGCATAATAATAATAGCACTGATTCGTATTTTAAGGCACTATTACTATGCTAATAATAATAATAATAATAATGTATTTTCCGTGTGATTTTACGTATTAGTATTAGTATATTAATATTAATATTATAATTAGTATGTTTTAATCAAACAAATAAAATGTTTTGTAAGAAAAAAAAAATGTCCATTTTTATTTTTTACTTGATAATAAAAGGTCTGTTTTTATTTTTTTATTTGCGACTTTATAATAATATTCCAGAAATATAAAATCTTATTCTCATATCCCGTTTTAATTCCACATTTACAAATGTCCCTATATTAATATGGAAAAAATACGGATTGCTTACTCAATTGGTTGCAACTTTTAATAAACTGAACGTTTACGGCGATCACGGAGATATAGTGGAAATATTCTGGAATGTCATTATTTACAGGGCTAGAGATAAATAATATAGATTCGATTTGCACTCATTATATGTAACAATTATTTTTATTTCTTCGGACTTTGCTTTGCGCGTAAAGATATCTAGAGAGGTAAATAACATCAGTTCGGTTATGTGTATTAATTAATTGGCATATTTTCATGTATTTGTATTTAGAATAAAAAATATTTATAAAAAAATAGAACTGTATGAAAAAATATACACAAAAAATTATAATAGAGACAGTCAGAACCGATATATGATATCACAATCTGTGATTAAATAACGTTGATTAATTAAACTAGAATCATCAACTATATTACAATCAACTGTTGTTGTTGTTGTTGGATCGATTGTTGGACAGGTAGGATTTGATTCTTTGAGCTTTTGATTACTATTAGTATTATTAGTGCTATTTTTTCTTTTGGAGAAATCGACCATAACAAAGTTGGAGGCTCTTCTGACAGTATGGGAATAGTTATACCCGGGATTTAATTCTTTATGAATTACTCTCGATTCATTTGCTATTTCTACGAATATGCTTCTTTCTTGTGGTGTTGCTTGCTTCCAAAGAAATGAAGCATAACGCGTCGCATGTTTCATATTTTTGCCCCATGAGTAACCATATAATTTAACTACTTGGTTGAAATTTATTTTATAAACCATGAAACTGTTTAGTGGCCTGTTAACCTTCTGAGATCCTTTTTTCCTTGAGGATAATGCAATGTCCCTAGCATTTACTAAAGGTTTATAAAATAAATCTCTATTACGACTTAACTCTTTTTCTAATTCATTAAACGGTAAGGGTTGTTTTTGTGACGATATATTAATTGTTGACATTTTTTTAAAAGATAAAAAATGATGAAAATATAAAAAGTGTAACGATTATGTATTTATTCTATTATTTATATATAAAATTTTTTTGAATTTTATTATTATTATATTATTATTATATTATTATTATTATTATTATTATAAAATTATTATAATAATTATTATTATTCTTGTTGTTGTTGATGTTGGTTAAGTTTAAGGGAAAAATAATTAAAAAATTTAACATTGGGAAAAAAAAAGGTTATATATATATATATATATTTTATTTTATAAAAACGCAGCAGAAGCTAATTTATGTAGTGCGATGTGACACTACCGAATTTGGACAGCCCTTGATTATTTACAAAATGTTACAAATTTTAAGTTAAACGTCGCAGTGAGTGAGCGGTGGCACATGCACGAATTTATTTGCAATAATAATAAAACAAAAACAGGACAAAATGACAGATTTTTTTCTTCTCAGGAGCAGTAAACATCAATTAACTAAATATTAATATTAATATTAATATTAAATAGCTTGCTTGATAAACCTTTTTTTTTTAAATATATATTGCAAAAAAAAAAAATACAAATGCAGTGGCAAGTAGAAAAGATTGATTTGTTCCATAACATAAATTAATTTTTTTTACTGCCTTATCCAAATTTGCAACCCTTCAGTATTAACCTTTTCCAATCTTTTATATTCTTCTAATGCTGCTTTAGAGACCTTTAATTGAGTGGAGTCAAAACTGAGAATATGCAAGTTTTTTAATGAAGGAGCTTGGCTCATTGCAATGTATATTTGTCCTTCAGAAAATATGTTCTTCATCAATATTCAACAATGCAGTTGAGCTTGTTTTATATATGGCCCAAATGACCAGCAATTTGATTCAATTTTTTGGCTTCCACTAATTACACTGTCAATGGAAGAGACGGTCTTAATGAAGCACATAGATAAAAAAATGGGATGATATGGTTTTTTTTTAATTAGTTATTTTTGATTTTTTTTTTTTTAATGAAAGAATATTATTATTATGAATTTGATCAATTAACATTCCTTCATTTTATATTCATTTTTATTACTTGAATTTAGAAGGCATTTCTTAAACTAAAGCTTAATTCTATTCTAAGAAATTTATTTTTATAAATTAATTAAAATGTTGAAACATTTATGTGGGGTTCAAAAAGTTTTGACACTGCAATTATCTTGATGATCCTCAAATGTTTCCCACTTTGAGAATAATCATTTTATAGCTTGGGTAACATCCAATAAGTAATAGAAAATTTGGCACAACTTGATTTGACAATTGTGGAGAAACAATTTTTTCAATATTGCCTATTAACAATAATGGAAAATACTACATGTGAAAACCAACAATACTACATCTGGGTATGCTGGAAGAATGGTAAAGATGCTACTGATATCCATAGGGAAGTTGGTCACTGCTGAAGGGGACAAGGCACTATCCAAACGTACAATTTACCACTGGATTGGGGCATTTGAAGCTGGAAAATTAAGCATTGAAGATGCCCCTCATTCTGGACATCCCCGTGATGCTGTCGCACCTTCAAACATTAATATCATTGAAGACCTTATAAATGACTACCCCATATTACAATTGATAATATTCAGCAAGTGGTTCCCATTTCAACTGGAAGCATTGAAACCATCTTACATGAAGAAATTTCTGTCAGGAAGGTGTGTGCAAAATGGGTTCCTCACACTCTTACTAATGAAAACAAGCAAAAACGAGTTGAGGTTTCAAAGCAATTGTTGGGGTACCTTGAAAATGGGTTTCGAAATATTATTACTGGAGATGAAACATGGCTTCATTTTTTTACAGTCTCATCTAAAGATGCCAACAAGGTTTGGCTAAGCAAAGGAGAAAACCGGCCACAAATTACAAGAACAGCTCAAAATAGCAAAAAACAAATGTTTTGCATTTTCTTTTCAGCTGATGGAGTTGTGGCAAGCATTGTGGTGGAGAAAAGACAGACAGTCACTGGTAATTACTATGCCAACATAGTTTTACCAAATGGTTTCAAAAAATTCAAAGAAATCAACAACAGGAGCACAGTATGTGACATCATGCTGCATCATGACAATGCAGCACCATACAAGGCAAAGGTTGTCACTGAATATCTGCAAAAAGAGCGAGTTGTAATGCTTCCCCACCTCCTTACAGTCCTGACCTAGCCCCCTGTGATTTTTTTTTATTCTCTAAAATTAAGAAAAAACTTAGTGGGAAGAGGTTTGAGAGGATTCAAGACCTTGCGCATGCTGTAAAATTAATAACAGATAACATACCACAAGAAGAGTATTTTAATTGCTTTAAAAATTGGTGTATGGGACTCATCCGGAAAATATAAAAAAATTTTACACATGTCAATTGTAAGTTTAATAATAAAAAAGTGTAAAACTTACATCGGCACTGTAAGATTTACACAATATTACATCAGCATTGTGAGATTTATGCAAGTTTATGCTAAATTAATTTCCTGATGTATTTATTAGGTTATTTTACATTCAACACACAGCCTACTCACTGACTTATGGTTGATTCCACTATCTTACAGCCTACTTGCCTGGATAGTTCCTTTGTTTGACACACAGCCTACTCGCCGACTTATGGTCAATTATTTTATGTGACACACAACCTACCCACTGACTTACTGTCACTATTACTTTTATCTTACAGCCTACTTGCCTGGATAAAAGATCCCTAGGTTATTTAACTAACTATATCCAAAGGCATCCCCTTGAGATGCATCTGAATAATTAAAAGGTTTCCCAACTAATAATTAAAGGTTGGTCAGACCATTAATCATTAGAAGGGCTGGGGGTCACCATACTGGCTTATTAGTTACTTACAGTCAAAGACTATTTTATGTATGGTTATATATATTTATTAAGAGTTTATTATGTTATTGTTATCAAGGTAGTTATCAACAATATTAACAATATTATCAATGATTACAATGATCCTTTTAACTTGGTCTAAAGCCAAGTGTATTTATACCTCTTGGGGCAGTACAAATAACATGGTGTGTGCTATTCTACCTCCAATGATATGCTTATCAACTAATTACTAATTCTAAATAAATATTTGCATCAGATGGGTAGGTTAATAAATATAAATATAGAAATATGAATAGGAATAATTTTTCATGTGACATTGCGCAATGTGTGGCGCAGTCGTTACAATGATATAGTTGGCTCAGTCTAAAGACCTCCTAAATTTTGGGCAAAATTTAAAAGTATAGAAGTCACTTCTGTCCTACCTTTTAAAAAAATAGCTCTATTGGTTGATAGAATATGTCTTTAGTTTTAATGTAATAGAAATATTTTCTCAAAAATATCGTTTGTTGTAGAGTTCTATTCTTTTTTAAAACATGTATAGTGCTGGTCACAAGTACACATCCAATAAAAATTGCCTTTCTAAGAAATGATATTCAGCAAAATAGAAAAAACATTTTGAAAAAATAACATCATCATTTTGTTTATTTTAAGTAAAGCTATCAACTGGCGATTAGATTTTGAACATTGGTCACACAGAGCCTGAGTTATATCGGTTTAAAATTTGGGTTAATTTACTATGTTTACTATGTTTGGAAGGCCAATTTGAAACATGAAATTTGTGGCTGAAATTACCATTTTTAGCAAATAAAAATTTGATGTCACCAAAAAAAAGATTTCGCGTCACGA